GCAGTAGTCTAGAGCTACTTATGTGTGATTCGTTCAAAGTAGAGGAAGAAACTATATAGAGTGGTTTTTAAAACTGAACTCTATAGAATTTGCACATAAATCCGCAGCCATACCCTGCAATCCTATCGAATTTAATTTATCGAAAACTTTGCGCAAATCCGATTATTCAATACATTTGGTGATTAATCGGAAAATTCTGTTCGAATTAATCCGATAAGATGTTAGTTGTCTGATTTAGAACAAACACAAGACTATGCAATGTGCGATCTTATTAGATTTGTTGGAATGCTAACCGTACAGAGCTGGAGGTAATGCCAAAGGTGATCCGATGATCGGGAAACACTAGCGAAAATTGAAAATCTCGCTGCTTTTATAAGGCATACGTAAGAGGAGGTGAAGACTGGTGATTTTACAAAGAGCACATTAACCTAAGTTTTGTCTCTGCTGATTGGATCCTTGAAATGCATGAAATTGATGCATAATATCAACGAAAAATCATCTTAACTGATGAGGCCCATTTCCACTACGATAGCAATACTATCACATCTGTGGTCCTCTTCAAGCTCATCGTGCAACTGTTTGATAAGGTTTATGGTCAGGCGAGCTCATTGGACCTTACTTTTTCGAAAATGTGCCTTTAGCAACAGTTCGTTACGATAATGAATTGCGCTATCGAGAGATGATTAATGATTATTTCATAGTCGGATTTGAATGGTATTAAACTGGATAACTTTTACTTTCAACAAGATGGCGCTATGTGACACATAAGCAACGAATCCACCGATCTCTTAAGGGAAAAGTTTCCGGTTCGTGTTATCTTTCGAAGAAGTAGCCACCGTGGTCTTGTGATTTAACACCTTGTGACTTTTTCCTTTAAGGCCACGTGAAAAATAAAGTCTACGCCAACAGGTCCACGTAGATTCCAAGCCTCTAAGATGAACTCGTGAAACTATTGAGGGCATTTGGCAGTCACTTTGCGGTTAGATGATGGTAAGCATTGCCGTGCCAGAAGTTTATCTGATATTGTTTGCTATTAATAATGGCATATCTTGCTCTGTACGTTGAAATAAACATTTATATAAAAAAATGTAATTTTTCCTTGAATATTAAAATAACACCTCTTATCTTAATGGAAAACCCTGTATATTGTATTACATAAATTGCGTAAATTTTAAATATTTACACTTTTAATTATATTTAAGACGACTTTCTTTCAGTTTTTCCTCAACAGCTGATTAATTAACTTGGCATAAATGTCAATAATAACTGAAGCAGCGCAGCATGGCGCCTGCAATCGATTACACAGCACTTTTCGAAAGTCGATCAAATATGTTAATGGCTTGCACTAGCATGTCTAATGCATTTATTTTGCATACTTTGATAAATACTTTGTTAAAAAAAGAGGTTGTTCAAGGTGTTATAATAACGATTATATAAGCAAATAGTGATTAAAGATTATATAAATAGAAAGTAATTAAAATACCATAAAAGTCCATAAAAGTCAAAAGCAACATTGTACGAGTATCTGTATACGGCAACAGAGGAATTCCCGCAAGTCATTTACTCGGGGGAAAGAAGAAAGAAAAGAAAAATAACTTTGGCTAATCTGCGCTTAATGGATTTAGACTCTTTTTCGTCTTGCTGCGCTTGTAATGTCAGTTTATTAACCCATTGCAACTAATTATGAGCAATGCACATAGAGGAAAGTTGTTGCTGAACATTTTAGTTCGGAACTGTGTACTGCGGCTGTATTTGTTTAATTGTTGTTATTTTGCTGTTTTTTGCTTATTTTTTAATTTCTTTTGGCTTGTGTAGTATAAAATAAAATATTACAAGCCAAAAAAGAAGAAAATCCTACAAATATTGGCTGGCTGTGAGGTAAAAAAGTACTTTGTGAGGCAAATGCAATAAATGTCATTTGAGGTGAAAAATTTGCTATACTTATATATATTTATTTTAAATAAAGTAATAATATAATAAACGTATATATAAATAACAATGAATTGGCATAGAAAAGTATGCGAAATAAAAAATAAAAACGAAAGCAGTAATATTTTGTCGATAAAAGTGTTGCCAACTCTGGTCGTTTGTCGGAGGAAGAGCAGGATGGAGCCAAGTACGGTGTAACAAAATGTGTAATTTTTAGCGCAAATTTAAGTTCAGGTAAATAAGTGATTAAAACAAATTTTTTGCACAAAATGTGGCGTCTAAAGGTTGTTTGCTTTTAGACGTATGATTTCCAATAGGGTCATACTTTCTTCAGAGTAGATCCTTTTGACAGCTGCTACTTTTTATATTTCATTTGGTTTGCCATTTTACAATGAATATTTTTACTAAGGAACAATGTTTGCAAAACGTGCATATTTGTTAACAAAATAATGATTTGACTGCGTCTAATATTAGCTCGACATAATCGTACAGCGGTAAAATAAGCCACCATGTCTACTCTAGTGCCGTACAGAGACGCCGTGCAGTGTTCACCGAAGACGTTTTTGATGCTGTAGAATGTGCAGAGTATCGAAGAAGACCCGAATGAGTTCATACGTCATTGTGAGCAACAATTGGAGCTGTGACTCATTCACTTTCTGAAAGATTTTGTTAATAGATCTCGGTTTGCGTGCTTTCAAAATTCAACTATTTTAAGAATTGAAGCCGAACTACTATCAAGCGCGTCGCATACCGATTTTCATAAGAAATATTTGTTCAGCCCTAAAGCTCACTTTTGGTTGAATTGTTACGTTACTAAAAAAATTGTCGCATTCGGAGTGTTGATAATCCCCAAGACATTACTTAGACGCCTTTACTACACAGTTGGGGACAGAGACAACCTCTACTCCATATTTCTTCAGAACTGAACCGGCTATAATATTACAGTCCATGGCGAATGCTATAGAAATATGATTAATGACTTTTTCGTGCTTGAATTAGAGCATGTCGTTGTGGACGACTTTTGGCTCCGACAAGACGGCGCTACATGCGCGATACAATCAACTTGCTTCAATAAGTTCTCGGTCAGCGCTTCATTTCGCTTGGTGGGACTGCAAGATCTTGCAATTTAACGCCGCTGGTCTATTTTTTGTGGGGTTATATAAAGTCGCTTGCCTACGTGGATAAACCTGAGATGATTGACGCCTTGGAAATGAATGCTCGGCGCGTTTGTGTTGACGTACGTTGATGCGAAAACCGGGCCACTCAGCTGGAATTCATTCGAACAAGGCTAAAATCAGTTTTAAAGCATTATGATAAAGCGAAATTCTTGACCATAATATTAAATTATATGCCTTGAGATGAAAAAAATCCTAAAAACCATTTGTCTAACAAAAATCAACTCTTTTTTAATATTGTTCCCACAGACACTCAATTAGTTAATTGAAAGTAAAAAGGAGTTAAGAGTTTATTCGCTTATTGAAAGTAAAGGGCAGTTAAGAATCTATTCGTTAAAAAGAATCTTCCACAAAATAACTTGAATTTTCATAAAATATCTCAAGTGGGTGAGTGGAGCTCTCTATTTTATTCAAAAAATTTCTCATTTCTGTTCAACTAATTTTCTCTGCTTAATTGAATATGTGTGAACATCAAACTCCATAACTCAATTTAAAGCTTAATTGCCTTAGCACTGTTTTAACATAAAATATAGAAGATAGAAGTAGTTTTCCAATTTCTATTGTACTCACTCTGTATAACATGTGAGAGCTATTAAGTACAGATTGTTAATTAAACTCAAATCTTCATTTTGAGTTCAACATAATATATACATATAAAATACCCTTTATTCGCTTTTTAAATATTAAAAATGCTAGGAAAGTAGCCAATTACTCGGAGCGTAAAGTAAATTTATATATTTTTTTCCTTTTAATTGAGTTGATTGTTTTATAATTGATCATTCAAAATTTTAAAAATTTTTGAACCCGAACTGCAAAGCTCTGTTGATATTTTTGGTAAAAAAACACATGTTCACAGCAACCAACTTCAAGAAGTAAACACAAACAAATGTGATTTGAATTTTTTCGAGAAATTAGTCACCAATGTTTTTATAAACGTTATAGAAAAATGAAAAAAANAAAAAAAAAAAAAAAAAAAAAAAAAAAAAAAAAAAAAAAAAAAAAAAAAAAAAAATGTAAAAAATTCAAAGATTTGCAACACTGTACACCTTGATAAATGACATGACATGTACGCGCATGTATGTTGAAGTAATCGAAGTAATCGATCAATCGATCAATCTGTAAGGTGTCTGATAGGTGAATGAATGACTGAATGAATGTTGGTACGTGCAGTGAGTGCAATGTTTGCATATTTTTTATGCGTTAGTGCATATGTGAGTATGTGTTTTTGGAAAGAGTTTGCATATTAGGGCAATAATTTACTTTTTGCAAAATACGCTGCGACAGTAGACATGCGCGTGTTAGTATTAATAGTAGTAAAATCAGCTTTAATATTAGTGCTACTTGTAGTAGTAGTGGTAGTAGTAGTAGTTGTGGTGGGGACTGTTTGGCTGCCAGTGGCAAAATTTGTTGTTGCTTTTGTTGCTGTAGCACTACTAGCGGCTAAAATGCAAACATTGTCATGCGTTGCACTTGAATGCATTTGATCGGCAGCATTGACGTTGCGGCCTTTGTCGAGGACAACAGTCACTGGCGCAGCGGCAGAGTCAGTGATTGTTGCAGCAGCAACAGCAGACGTTGCTTGTACTGTTGTTGCTGTTGGTAACATTTTCGGTGCAATCGTCACAATTTGTTTTATAACAATTAACACTTGTGATGAACGTTTGGCTTGTTGTTGTTCTTTTGCATTTGCTGCGGCAGCTGCTTCTGCTGCTACTTTTTTTTCTTCTAATTTGACTTTTTGCACATTAACGCCTTTATCATGTTTCAACTGCTGCTGCTGTTGCTGCTGCAACGCATGACTGCTAGTCTGCCGCTGCTGCTGCAGCTGTTGGTCTGGCTGTTGTTGTTGTTGTTGTTGGTTGTTAGTAGGCGTGGCATGCTCATATATAAACTCACTCTTTGGCAATTTGCCCGCAGCATTGACATTTCCGTTTCCCTTTTGTTTGTGCGCTGCTTTTGTGGTATTATGTTGTTGTTTTTGCGCGCCAGCATTGTTGTTGCTGCGTTTAAGCGTGAAGCTACTTACAACTTTGGCAAATGTAGACTGTTGCTTGCTGACCGTGCCGCCGGAGTTGCTTTTATTGGCAATTAGCTGGTCATTGGCACCTGCTGCCGCTGTCACTGCTGGTGTCTTACTGTTGTTGCTGCAAGCGGCAGGCGCATCATCACTGTTGGCCGCCTTTTGCACTATTTCGCTGTTTTTGTTTACATGATTTGCTTCGGTTGTTGCTGTAGTCTCTGCAATATGCATGCTTGCATTAGTTACGCTTGCAACATAGTCATGTTGCTGCAACTTTTTTGGTTGCGTCAGCTGTTCCTGCTGCGCCACATCTTCCTGCTGCTGCTGCTGCTTGCTTGTTTGCGTTTGCTCGGCGCTTTTGGACAGCTTTTTTTGCTTCTTCATGCCATCCCCCTGCTGTCCGTTCAGCTGTTGATATTCTTCGTAAATGCTGCAGCGTTTATTTACCTTCGCCGCAGCTGTTGCTGTGGTCAATTTGGTAACTTTTGACGTCTTGGACGATTTGAAAATTTTACTCCACATTTTCTTGCTCATCTTGAGGGCTCAACGCATGCGAAAATCAACACTTTGGAATTTAAGTTATTTATGCACTTCACACACTGCTTTAACACATTCAACGATCACTTTGATCTCCACAAAAATTGACAAAAAATTAAAATATTTTTTAATTCTTGCATTTCATCTCCATTTCGTTAGTTCTTTTTCACCCACTTCACTATCTACACTTTTTGGCTCGCTGTAGACACTTGGCGTGACTTCTAAGCGCTCATCGTTAACACATGCATACTAGGTACATACAACTCGCTCACTCGCTCACTCGTTCATTCGCTCGGTGTACACACGACTTTTCGGTTTCGGCAACAAAATGCGACTGATTGCGCGTTGCGAAGGAAATAAAGTGAAGACCACCGGCAAATGCGATCAAGTTGTAAGTACCTACTACATACTAGCTGTTGTTGCTGCTTGTGCTCAGCTTATGCGCCAACAACATATGTACGTGTACATACATAGTACATGCATGCATACTTTCATACGTTCCTAAGTGCAGCTGCTGCGACGTAGCGGCAAATGCTGCTCCACTTCACGCGCCATCTGCGCTGCTCAACGTCGACAGCTATTACTTGTTTCAAAAAGAAAATACATATATACATACATACATACAAAAATATTCGCAGGTCTTCTTGAAGTTGTCTTCTTGATTTTGCTTATTTTCTGTTCTGCTTATGGATTTTCTACATTACGCGCCCCCCCCCCCCCTCACTTTGGCTGTCTTTGGCCAATGTGTTGTGCTGCCGCAAATGGGCCGTTGTGCGGGCAGCGTTTTATGAGACTTCCAAGTTCCATGTTGTCTTCAAGACGTTGAGTGCGCCTCAACATACATACAATATATACTTATTTATTAATAAATATATATACATATGTATATATATGTACATACATGCCCTGCAGGGAAAAAGTGTTCTAGTGTAAAGTTTTCTAGTTCACAATAATTAATATTTCACCAAACGTGCGGCCGGTCAGCGCTAACCGACTAGTTTCTTGATAGTCGAAAGGTTATCCATAATTAGTTTGACATACTGAACTCATGTAAACGGCAGCAAATCGTTTAAATTGTTTTCATAAATGTGATGTGAATCTCGATTTTGGCTGCAGGTGACAGTTTAAACCAGCAGAAAAGGGAAGGTTCGCATAAAAGTGGTACATCCAAATTATTGCTTGAAAGTGGGATTTCCAGTGGTGAAAAGCAAGTATCAACTCACCACCACCTCAGAGCACCAATACCACGAAAAGCATTCCCGGAGCACCGAGAGTCCGTGAACATCTTCATTAACTAATTTTCAATGAATGATGTTCATGGCTCCAAAAATCATCTATTGGAGATTCTGAGCTCGAATTGCCTCGAGAGATCCAGATAATACTGACTCAAGTAAGATCACGATATTGTAGTCACCTGAATTTCTATATATCCCGAATGGACCCCGTATGGACCCCGACATACCCAATGCATGTTCTGCATGCAATGAGACCCTGCATGACACTAATTACCTCTGTGAATGCTCCCTACATATATATACAACTAACATGGCGTTCTTTGGATCTCATTTTAGATTACCTCGATGACTTAAACTAGTCTCGAGTGATCCTACAACTATAACAACCGCCTCCCACGACTACATACAAGAAGCACCTTCATAGTTCAGTCCAAGAGCCAGCAAAAGACAAGGTTAAGCATACAGAGTGATCTTTGTTCTGGAGACATTTTTCGTTTTCTTCAAAAAACTAAACTAAACCTGCCGTTCTCTGAACCTACCTTTAGATTATCTGAATGACTTAGATTAGTCTTGAGTGCTCCTAAATGTTGTTGGTGACTACTACAACAACAGCAACCGTTACACTACTAGAGTGAAAGGGATGTACCACGATAATACAAGAAGGAAGCACCTTCAAAGCATTGGTGAGCGCCAGTAAAAATGAGTGAGAAACTCCCAAGGTTACGCAAACAGAGCGAAAAGAGAGCTCTGCAGGGTGCTTACTACAGGCTTTGGCCAAAATTCAACGTAAGCTGGCCAAGGTCGATGATCGGTGCCTCAGTTAGTAATTGTTTATCTTTCTATCTTCTTGTCCATAAGAATGGAGAAGGAAATGAGAATGAGTGGGCTAGAGTTCGAAGAAGATCGAGGATAATGTGCCTTTAATACTGCAAAGCACAGGCTGAAGGTGCAAACCTTCCAAACACTGTACTACATGTCTTTATTTCTGCGGAGTCCAGCCAGAGCTGTTGTTGTTGTTGTTTGTAACACGAAGTTGTAGGTGAATTCTAAATCCCAGCTTTTAGAAAATCGGGATCTCATCGAGCTGACAGCTGATTTAAGGCCTCGCGGCTATGGAACATACTTTCAAGCTCCAGATTTTAATAGGTACTGGTTCCTCCGACATCTTAGTATGGCCTTGAGACCTAGAAAGCACAGGGACTCCATAGCCAGTTTCTTTTTCTTACTCAACGTCTACGTCTGGAACACAACTGGGAGCTTAATAGCACGCAATCCTCTTGTCTGATCTCAATTAAAATGGACATTGGTTGCCCCTCAGTGGAAAATACTACATCACTGAGAGTTCTTCTCGCATGCCAAAAACCGGAGCACACTCGCACTCGGAACCTAGATACTCCGCTTAACTTTTTCCTCATGATCTACATTAGATTCTCGTTTGCATTTTCACTTCAACTCTCTATTTTAACGTTAATTTTGTGCTCTTCCTCATTTTCTTTCATAATTTTTATTTTTATTTTTATAAAGACACAAATTTAAGACACACCGACACCAGTGCAGCTACGGTTCGTTTCATTTGGGTTGAAGTTCGATGAGCCAGCGCGCGAGCGAGGGCGGTGGGCGGTTGTCGGCATGCGCCGGCGGAAAGTAGACTTTGACGTTGACGTTTATTTATATTTATGTTTCGTGGAAGACACAATGAATTCACATCGAAAATCGAAAATCAATTGGCCATAGTTGTTATATACATACATATATATCATACATACAAATGTATATACCGCAATTGATAGTTTGCTGCTTTCGAGTGGAGCTGAAATGTAGATATCGACGGAAGACTATCTATGACAATTTAATTTATGTATTTCTGAAATTATATATATGTACAAACATCCACACACACACATACATGCTTTTATTATTTGTCAAGCATCAGTTCTAATTCCCAAGCGGCGTAAGAATTTCGCTTTGTAGATCACATTAATTGAAAATTGAAAGATCTAATTCTCAGCAGAAAAGCCACAAGCTTTCTGTTGGTAAACATTTTTGGTTGATTTCTCTAATGGAATTCCAATGAATTTTCAGGAAAGAGTAGAAAACCCTACACTTAGAGTAATCGACTAATTTCTTCCATCGCTCTGGTCGATTTCGAATATCATCTCTAAAAAAAATGAGTCATCTCTGTCCTCGATCCAATCATTGAGTCATTCTGAACCGCCTAAATCGTTTTTCATCCGTCGAAGGATCCAGTAGTCCCATGTAGCACGGTCTGGAGAATACAGCGGGTGGGGTGAGACCACATTTCAGCGCTTCCAGTTAGCTTTTGTTCATTGTTGATGTTGTAAACGCAACGATAACAGCTTTGGATCGTTACAGCCACATAAGGTCGAGGGTTGTCATGTTACAAAATAAACTTTCGTTCGTTTACGCTCGTTTTTCTCGCAATGTACTGCCCAAACTCATTAGCTGTGGTGATAATGAAGCGCAGCAATGGTCTCACCTGGTTTTAGAAGCTCATGATACACCAAACCCGTCCGGGTCCCACCCTCAACTGTGAATGTTTTTTCTTTGGCACCAATGCAGACGCTGGTGGAATGTGTTTTTTAGGCATGACATAGAATTTTTCCTTCTTATGTTATTGTGGTTTATTCATTTTTTATCTCCAGTCATGAGCCGGTGCGAGAATCCCTTACTTTGATGCCTTCCAAGAAGTAGTACACAAAGATTTTCATCTTTTGCCTTTCGACATTCCTCGGCTTTAACTCGCAAACCGCTTTTAGAAAACATAAAATTAAACGGGTAGAGAACCCCTTGTTTAATCTTACGGAGTTTAGAAGTGGGGCTTTGAAACTCTAACGACGACTGTCGACCACTCGACCTGAATAACCCATTTTCCACTTCTTCAATCCCGGCAGTAATGGGAAATCTTTTTACAACGCTTTTGACAGACAGATACAGTGCTACCAGCACGGTGCGCTGGCAGAGTGGGGTTTTGGTAAAAGCTATGTACTACCTGGCTGTTTATGGCGTTAAATGCGGTTGCCATGTACTGTGCACTTATTGGAACAAATGCTGATGTGCTGCTAGGCTCAGATGGTGTGTGAACGACAGGAGCAGCAATACCATCATTTTCTTCGCTGAAACAGGAGCAAAGTAGATCTATTGGCCGATAAGATTCCCTCTTTTTTTGTTGGTTTCCTTGGTTTAAGTAAAGGGCCAACTCCACCCAGTTTCCACATATCGTGTACTGCCAGAGTGGTCAAAGAAAATTTGAGAACCTACGTAAGGTAGTCTAATTTCACTCAACCTCAGCTTGCTTACTCGTCTTCCCCTATAGCCTACTGAACATCCTCGCAGGTGAAATCAAGCGGGGTGCTGGTGTTTGGCGTTTTATGCAAGTGGTAGGTCACTGGTCGCTTCATTTTGTGCACCGAAGAATGCAGTGTTAAAAGTCGGCCGAAATAGCTCACACTTCTTCGGGTCCGTTGAGGCATGGTCATCGAATCAAATTTCCACCCGATCTTCGCGTCACAGCGGGTTAGACAATAATTTTACTGCGGCCTTGAGCTTGGTAACCCCAGAAGAGAGTTTGGAAGATCTTTGGTACTCCTCCCACTTGCACCGTTTGTGTTGGCCAACATGATCGATCTGGTTTTGAGTTTTTTGATCAAGGGAGAGCTAAGTATTTCGTTGTTTCTTGTGCTGGAATCTATTACTACAGACAGCCATACTTCTTGGCACGTCGATGTCGATCAGCCTCAACTTATTTGGGGATGTTTCGTTAGGGAGGCTGAATTTTCCTACAGTTGTGCCGAAAATACCCTTTTTGCCCTCCCTGGCATTAAAGTTGCCAAACACGACAACATCAACATCGTGGTGAAGACAATGCTCATGAGTTCAGTCCAGCCGATTATAAAAGGTATCCTTGCACACATCCTTCTTCTCAGTAAAATAGCAATATGTGCATAAATTTCGCTACTCGCTTTCGTCCTTGTACCGTCCATC